GTGTACCTGCATGATGGTGGGGTTACAGGTCGCTGCAGCTTCCTGCTACTGTTAAGCATCTTGAGAGAGGCCTGGATCTCCTCTGAGTAGCCTGGGAAAAGATCCATATTTAAAATTTGAAGTATGGTTTCTACAAATTGCATATCACTTTTGTATCACGGTAAAATGGAAAACTCATAAAGGGAAGCTCGTTGTAAGTTAGGGACTACCTGCAATTTTCGCATTGATTATTAATATCTCCTGGCTTGGGTTTCAGTTTGTAGTCATTGTCATGGTCTCCCAACTGTGCCTAACTAGGTCTTTCAGTACTGTACTGTGCTGCTTCTCTGGATAGAATGAATACTAGTTATTGATTCACAGGTTGATTTTTAGTCCTTTCTCTGTAAGTATTTATTGAACATGTTTGTATGTATCCCAGGATATAAAGATAAAACTTTTGGTTTACTTCTAAGAGTTTATAACTTCTTGGAAAATGCAGAGACAAAACAAGTGATTATGGTGTGATACGAACTCTGTGGTAATACATTTTCTTCTGTGATAATACTGGGGCTATATCTGGGGCACACAAGGGGTACATATTGAAAAGGGAGGGTCTGGGGGTGTTGCTCAATAGTAAGTGGTTACTGAGTAAAAATGAGGCTCTGGATTCCAAACCCAGCACTGCCAAAATGAAAAAACAAACAACCCCCACCCTGCCCCAAGAAAAAAAAAGTAGAATGGAGAGAATATCAAGATGGTCATGGTGTGTTATAAGGAGCACAGAAAGTAACCAGAAAAGCAGAGATTGGTAGATGGGTTTTTGCAGCTGAGGTGTGTGTCCTTGTAGTCTGAGGGAGAAGGCAGTGACCTCAGAGAGTAGATGGGAGGCACTGCAGGAAGCAGAATCTACAGTGGGCAGCATGTCAAGGCTGTGAGGGAGACAGGGCACAGGGCCTGTTTTTGACAAGATTTCCATGCCTTATTGTGGAACTTTTCTTCCTGAAGACTAATGTCCAGCAGTGAAAGAATTTAGTAGTGCAGGACTTTGCCATCTATGTGGAGAGTATGTAAGAAAGAGCTCAGAAGAGGCAGGTGACAGAGAGGATAGCAGTAATGTAAAGGTGCTGTGGTGAGGACTCCTAGCCAAAACAGGCAGGGGAGAAATGTTAAGGGGATGATAATGGCAGTATTTGGTCATTGGTTGGATGTCCTAGATTTCTGGTCTAAAATGGAGGAAGGAGGAGCAGGTTTAAAATATGAGGAGAAGAATAGAGAGGGAAAAAGTTCCATTCAGATTGTAACATAATCTGAGATTCCTGAGGGTTATAGCCGTAAGTATCTTTCTGGCTCTACTACTTCCTCATTGTGTCACATTGGGCAAGTAGAATAACCTCTGTGTGTCAGTTGCTTTCACTCTGAAATGAGGATAAAAATAGTGCCTAAGAGGGACATAAGCAAGGGTAAAGGAATTCCTAAATGTTTTAGAATAACACCTAGCATACAGCCAGTATTCATTATATTAGTTGGCATTTCTATACACTTTAAGTGAAAATGTTTTTAAAGATTAGTCTTAAGCTCATAGAGATCTTGAGATACAGATTTGGGAATCAACAGCACAGAGATTGTACTTGAAATAACAAAATCAAGTGATTTAATTTAAGGACTGTGTATAAAATTAATAAGATCGAGGATTTAAAGTACTAAGTATCAGTACGAGTCAAGTCTATGAAAAAGGATCTGACCTCTACCAAATGACTGATTGGTAAATATCTAACATTCAAAAAGAAAAAAAAAAAAAGAAAATGAACCCTAATTTTCACGTTTCCCAAACTTGATTTGAAAAAGAAGTTGGCTCTTGAGAGCAAAGGCACCAACTTCAGTTCTCATCCCCAAGGTTCTAGCTCTGCGTACTTTATGTAGAGCTGTAGGATTCCACTGTCAGGCGTGGTATTGTAAAAAAGCATTAAATACTGTTTATGCAATAGCATAGCAGCCTAGAATCTTAATAATTTCCTAGAATCTTAAAATTGAGGCACACACAGCAAGTTGTTAGGTTTCCTTCTCTCTCTGTTTTTTCCTTTACTACTAGATACTGAACTCAGGGCCTTGTACATGCTGAATAAGCATTCTACCACTTGAACCACACGTCCAGCCCTTTCATTTTATTTTGTTGTTGAGACAGGCTCTCGCTAACTTTGCCCAGGCTGGTCTGGAACTCTTGATCCTCAGGCTTTTACCTTCCAGCCCCAAGTGGCCGACAATAGGGGTGTATTCCCCCATGCCTGGCTTATTAGGTCTCTTTCAGGTCCTGATTTTGCTGAGTGGGTATGCATTTTAGAGTTACATTAATCTTCCAGGGACCCTAATGTTTTATTTTCTGATCGCATGCAGCTTTCCTCTTCCTGGATAAACTATGTTGTGGCGGGGGTACTCCCTCTTCTGTCCCTGGCCCTGCAGTTCCCAGATGCACAGGATGCAGAAAAAAATCACTTCTGTGATCCACTGTCTCACATGTCAGTACCAAGAAAGGAACCAATGCTGTCACTTTGAAACAAGATAGCATAGTGTCCACTTTAAATAAATATGCCACAAATTGGAAGACACCATCAGGACTAGATATTCTAGATGACATAAGTTCCTGGGACAATTAAAGGTTTTCTGTGTTAAGGACAGATCAGTGAGCAGGTCTGATTGTGGTGGGTTAGCATGTAGTGTGAAAGTAACTTTTCTTCCTGTGCTACGCTGGGGGACATTTTACTATTGTATGGGCCCAACCACCATGGTGGTAATTGGATGGCAGCTGGTGGCAGCAGTGTTGCTATGAGTAAGTTCCCAGGGCCCATGTATAACTAAGACAGTGATAGTCACTGTCTACATTAAGTGGTGTGGAGGCCGTTTAGGCTGTTCCCTGGTGAGAGGAAGGACTGTGTTTCAGGTCTAGAGTCAAGATTTGTTCTGCAGCTTATAAGGCTAACGGTTCTCAAGATCATTGAATTCAGTTTGATTTGTTCTGTGGTCATATGCTGGATGTCAGACCCCTGCCAGCAGCCTGAAAATTGAGTATTCTTGGTGTGTGAAAGTGGCATGAGATATGTGTGGACTAGTGCAGGTGGGGACTTTTGTTGGGTGAATTTGTGATGCTCTTTGATGGTCTTATCTGTGCTATCAGCCCCTTGTGGGAAGTGTCCTTTCCCTGTAGCAGTTTTGTTTCCTTATTCATAGCAAAAGATACAGTGCAGCTTGTGAGCTGTGGGTGATTTTTATCCGCTGTGCAAATCCTGGTTTCACTGCTCTCATGTGTTTTATTAAGTGGTGTATCAACTAGTTATCAGAGTTATGAACTACAATTTCATTGTGAATGCAACAAAATTCACAAGAGAATAATAACTTATTGACTGATGTTATTTACATAATTTCTCAGTATTGCATAAATTAAAATTCTACATATATAAAACATATTTCTGTATAATTTGTTATAATTTTATAGTTTGCAATTTTGCCTATAAATTATTCTCTATAAAAGGCTTATGTTTTGCTTAACTGTGAGTGGAGTTTCTTCCTATAATTGTTTTCATACATTTTAGAATAGGTAAAATTATTAGCTGATAATGTTTTATTACTTTGGAAACAAGATGAGAAAAAATGAATTTTGAATTCATACTACTTGCTCTGAATTCTTTCATTGCAAAACAAAACAAAATAGAAAGATGATTTAACACCCAAACATGGCATATAAGTGATCAACCTTTTAAACAGATTCGGTTTCATTTACATCTTTTCATTTATGAAGCCTCAACTCTTGAAGTTTATATTTTTTAAATGATAAATACTTTAAAATAATTTTCCTTGGAGAGAGGAAGCTTTGACTATACTCAGATTTCAAATATTCACTTAGCCTCCATTACATGGTGTGGTGGCAAGAGGAATATATTTTCTTTATCTTTTTATAGAAATGTAGTGTTCTACATTAAGTAGCATATGGTGAGAATAGCTATCTTGACCAAACAAAGTTTTTATATCAGGCCTTTAAAATTTCAACAGAATTTAAACATTATTTAGATAAAACAATCATGTTACAAAGACGACTTTTAACACGATCAGGCCACCCACAGTGTGGACCAGCGGATGTGGCATGCAAGCAAGCCACCCAGGGAGACTGAGGTAATTTTTTCATCTTTGCTTAAAGTATAGTCACTAGACCAGATAATGTAGAAACTTTTTACAAGCAGCGATCAAACAGCCACAAACAGTTTATTCTTTCTCTCCCCTTTCCTTGTAGCTAATTAAAAATAATTCCCAAGTTGCAAAATTTAAACTATTTTTCTACATAGCATATTTTGCTTTAGATAAAGCAGCTCTTTCATTACAGTGATCCATATAATTTGAAGTCTTTGAGAAAACATTTATGAAATACCCTTTTCATGTATAATTTTATAAAAATTTGCAGATTTGAGAAATATGGTGCTGTGTTAAAGTTTATCATTTTAAATTGTTTTTGTAATTTGCTGTGCCTTCTGTGTACAGTGATATTTCTATGAAGGAATAGGATTAATTTTAAAATATGTCTTTTGAACAACTTTTCTGAAAACTGGTTTTCTTATTTTGTTTACTACCCATCTATAGATATTGAATCTGTTTAACTTAACTAGTGTACATGTGTATTACCCCCTTATTGTCTGAAGTAATGAAATAACCAAGGGCTCATAATTGCTATAAAATTTAGGATACTACCTAAAATTTACATAGGTTCATGTTGGAGAATTTATTTGGGCATGGTAAGTATGTTGTTTTAAATTGGATACTGTTCCTAACATATGAAAAGACTTAGCAGGCAAAATGGAAATTTTACTTTAGCAGACTTTTATAGATCTCCAATATAGCTAAATTGAAAAAAAAAAAAAAAACTAGTGTATTGAATTTTAATGTAAGACCATAACAGCAGTCTGATAGTTTATTTCTTGTTCTCAATTACACATTTAAAATCAGCTTTTTCTAAGTTTCTTTTTCTCCTTTTAAAATAGGAGCAAGTAATACTGCTGACGCATTGTTTCAAGAAGTGTTAGGTAGAAAGGACAAGGCAGATTCCACTAGAAATGCACTCAACGTACTTCAGCGATTTAAGTTTCTCTTCAACCTTCCTCTAAATATTGAAAGGAATATTCAAAAGGTAGAGTACATATTTACATACATACAGTGATAGGTGTCATAAATTTTAAAGATTTGTTAAGATGTTTTCTATCCTAAGCAAATACTTTCCTTGTGCTTTACTGACAGTCTCTGAAATGTTTCTTATTTTAAAGGGTGATTATGATGTGGTTATTAATGATTATGAAAAGGCCAAGTCACTCTTTGGGAAAACGGAGGTGCAAGTTTTCAAGAAATGTAAGATTTGTTTATTACTTTTAGATCTTCTATTTTCCTTTTACAGGAAGCATGTCAAATGTATTCTGAAAGAAATGTTATGTGCACTTTGGATGTTTTTTTATATGACCCTCTCTTTAAAATGTAAAACAATGACTTTAAAAGTAACATTGTGGGTCTTCTTACTGAGGTGTAGTAAAAATTAGCAACCTTGACTGTAGGTTAATCTTGGACATTCTTTGCTGTTTGTTAACCACGATGTTATTAAAAGAAATCTTTCTTACCATAAAGAAGTAATGTCAGTCTTTTATGGACATGGGAACTTGCGTTGCAATCTTCCCTTTTCAGAAAGATCAATATATTTGTGGATTCAACCTTACTTTAAAGCAAATCCAATACCTTTTAAAATTAATTCTAATACAGGAGTTACAGAAAATATAAAAAGTTTAAAATGCCTCGTAGCTAAAACCTTATCAAGTAGGAAAAAAGTCACAGGGCTTTTTAAATTAAAAAATGAACTCCATAAGGAAGCAGACAACGTAATTTACTTCTTTACCGTGGTGAAATTTACATGCAGTGAAATGCAAAGACCTTCCATGTTACAGGTCAGTGAATTCTGACAAATGCACACCCTGTACATACTTGAGATGATCTGTTTTGATCAATTCACAAAGGTTCCTTGTTGCCTCTTCTCAGCTAAAAAAACAACCACTATCCTGCTTTCTAAAATTTGATTTTAAATTTCAATTCTGTAAATCTTACACCCCACCCCCCTAATAGATTATGCTGAAGTAGAGACACGAATTGAAGCTTTACGAGAACTGCTTCTGGATAAATTGCTTGAGACTCCATCGACCTTGCACGACCAAAAACGTTATATAAGGTACAGTTTCTACAAGAATTTAATGAACTGTATATATGTGTGTGGTATTGGGTTTATCCTGTAACTCTTAAAGCTAATTTGAGGGAAATTAGGAGACTGATGAATTGGTGAAAGGGAAGACAAATAGCAGAAATTTAGGGGTATCTAGTATAGGACATCAAAATCCTTCTGAATTGGGACTAGTTATAGATTTCTTTTTAAAGGCAAGAAAACCTGCCATTTTGGCCGAAGGAAAAGCAACATCATTGCTCAGTCACCTCTTCTTCCCACTGCCCAGTGGGCCAGCTAACCTTATGGGGAGGTGAACACTCTGTGAGGGCCATGGGCCATGAGGTAGGGGTTCCTGTGTGGACAAAAGGCAGAGTACTGTTCCACAATGGGAGGGAATTTCATGTATGGGGAAAATTCTGCAATGTTTTTTCCTTGAATATTCAATTTACAAGCCTATATTGACCAGTAAAAGAGAAATAAAGTTACTAAGTGGGAATATTTTTTTAAATTAGCAGTAATATTAAGGGATGTACATCACAGGGTATGAATTGAATGTCTTGGAAGGAAGCAGCATCTCACAGTAGGGGTAGGTCTTCACTTCAGTTTCTTTGCCTGTAGAATGGGCATGACAACACAGCCCAATGCAAAGATAGGAATGCATTTAAGGACTTCACACAGAACCTGGCTCATAATCAGTAGTCAATCAATTTTTTATATATGGAGTTTATACCAGGGTTTGGAGACAAAACCTAAATCATAAGCTTTTTGTATCTATTAAAAGTATTAACTTTATTTTCAGCCGTTATTTTCCACATTTAATGACTTCCCTTTAATTAGGGAAGTTTATTGCATATTCAGTAATAAAATGATAGTTCACCATAGATATTTGCATTTGGCTATGGTCACCAAGTGACCTTTGGAAATGGGCTGCAGGCACGGAAGAGGGTATGGCCTGAAAGCTGCCATGTGTATAGTTGTAGAACAGAGGGCTCACAACTCAGACCTTGTCCTGGTGAAGGAACCACTGGAGCAGGAGTCACTGTCCCTGGCAGTACGCTGATGCTGCCCAGGAGGAAGGTGGGCAGGGGTTTTGGCAGTGGTACCAGAGAGCAGTGCAGCTGATTGTTGTGCTGCTGCAGAACACAGGCTGTGTGCCCAGCCTGGGCTGGGTGATTCTGTTTCCTCTCTAGTGATGGGGCACTTGCACTGTGTTCTTTACACAGGCCAAAAAACCAAAGCTTGCCTGGGAAGAACCAAAGCTTGTCTGGTTTCAAAGCCTACCCTTGCTTTTCTTTGGCTGCCTCCATAATGAAAGGATGTACCTGGGGACTTTCCTGACTTACAGAATTACAGAAGTTTAAAGCACAAACAAACTCCACAGTAGTTACACCACTGCTTTATTTTCCACATATAAAGGAGCAGAGTTCCAGGAGGGTGGAGTGTCTGGTGCAGAACCATGCTGGCAAGCAGCAGGTGTCTCTATCTCTGCTCTCTGTATTCCATTCCTCTGCCTCACTGGTTGCACTTTAGTGATTTACTTACTTGCTCATTCATTATATTAAATTTGCCTACATCAGTACTTGCAATTTTGCTGGGTGTAAAGTTCTTTCTGAGTGGAACATCACCTGTATGAATAACAAATGTGCAATATGTATGTCTAAGTTATTTCATTGGGTAACAAGAGATGATGGTGTCAAAAGAGATGCCTTTAAATGGCCTGTTTCACAGCTTTTTGTCCTGCAGTTTTAAAAGGAAAACAACAATGTCAATAATAGCTTACTTATTTTTTAATCATTACTTTATTTCTGATGCTTTGAGAAGAGACTGAAATTCAAATACCCTCTAAAAATTACATAGTTAGCCTTTAATGAGCAGAAAAACAAGAACAGAACCACGTCAAGTATTTGTTATACGAAAAATCTATGGTGATTAGGTCCGAGGTGGGGATGGAGATAACTTTATCATCAATGGAAGTACAGCCATTTTTGTGTCTTTTGAGATTCACGCTGCGCACTGTATGGCTGAAGATCAGATTCCTCGTGCGTTGCCCGACTCACATGTATTATTTTACCCGACTATAGAGTTCCTCCTTGCTCTAGTCCTGGTGTTGGTAAGGAACACTGTAGCTTTTTCAAGATGCAGGGCTCCACTTAATCCTCCTACAACAATGGGGTTTTGTTCCTGGAAATTGGTAAAAATCATTCAGAGTATGACTGAAAACTCCAATTCTTAAATTCTAAAACAGTGAGCCTATGTCCATCATAATTAACATTCTTTACCTCATTTTTTTCCTAAGTCTTTTAAAAAAGTGTTCTCTAGTATCCTGTTTTAAAAGAAAGCAATATCATGTGTTACATTCTAAACAGAAATTTATGTAATGAAACTACTAATTTTTTAGGCTTCATTCTAAAAGTAAAGAAGTTTATTGGAAGAGCCTAGAACAACAAGCTGTTGTTCTGTAGAACTGACACATTCTCTAGAATTTCTGAGAACTTTACCTTTTATGAAATGCTTCCAAACTCCTTTAATTTAACACCCAGAAATAAGACAATAGGGAGGTTATTATTAAATTTTTCAAGGACATAGTTAATAATGTATTAGAGAGACTCGTAATTTGAAAGAATCAAGCTTATTGATTTCTCTTGCCCAAAGCACCCTCATAACAACCAGCTACACTCCTATATTTAAATATCAAATATTCTCTAAAAGATTATTCCTATATTTTGCTACTAACACCAAATCTGAGGGTTATGTGAGTGAAAGTGTTAGGGGAGAGATTTGCTGACGTATTTGGAGATAAAGCAGGCGTATTTAGGAAGATTGTTGAAACAAATTAGCACCAGCAAGAAAGAATAGAAAAGCACATATTCTTTGGGAAGGAAAGCCAGCAGGTACTATTTGCTGTATTTATGTTCCAGATATAGAAGAAGAAAGCCTGGTGTGAGAGGAAGAGGTAAATGGATTTTAAAACTTTGGAGTGTATTCCTCATACCAGGCCAAATATACTGTGTTAGACTGGTCTTCTGTTAGGATGGTAGTCTCAGAAATGAGGAGTCTTAGATGATTTCTTAACATGAGTGAAATCCTTCCTTCTAAGTGACTTGTTTTTTCCTCATTGCACAGACACTGCCTGCTTGTAACCTGTGACAGTCAGGGAGAAGGAGAAAGGCAGGCAGGCATGCCATGCAGAGGGAGCCATGCTGTTCAGTGGCCCTTCTGCAGGTGATCAGGGTCCTACCATCCTCAGAAACAGGGCCTTCCTATTAGTTTGTGGAGTTCAGGGTCAGTGCAGATCGCTGCGTCTCAAGATTTTATTTGCTGCTAACTTATTATAAAAATGGATTTGTTCTTCTCTAATTAACTGTCAATTGAGATGTCTGAGTAATGACTACCCACTACTGAAGAAATGTGGGAGGGAGCATCAGGCATGCCCCTGAGTAATTAAGATTTGGCTAAGGTCACAGCTTGCAACCATTAATAAACATTTACCATCGACCACAGATTTTAACCTCAAGACGAAAGAGTTTATGGTTACGAATAACTTTAAGACAATAAATTCAGGAGTTATAAAGGAGAATGATGGAGGGGTGAATTTAACTAAGATATATTGTAAGCACTTTTGTAAATGTCACAATGTACCCCCAGTACAACAATAATGTCACAATAAAAAAATTTTAAAAAGACAATGAATTCATTTGAATATGCTTTTGGAGTTGACTTAATTGAATTTAAGTTGTTACATGTACTTACTTTATGAGGGCCAAGGGCCAAATCTTTAATATTTGGCAGAAAAATTTCAACTGAAATATGTTTAAATTATCTATATGAGTTTGGGCATTTTATGTACAAAGAAGATTTTAAAGATTTTATGAATGATTTAAAAGCTAAGAAAATATCCATTTATACTATATCTTCTAGAGAAATATGTTCTCAATCACAAATTAGCTTAGACTTTAAGTGCACTCCATCAAATCTCTTCATGTTGAGAGCACTTCAGCTGCTGGGTATTTAGCTTGTTGCAGAGAACAATGTCACACTGCCATCTAGTGGCCCAGTTTCATACCAGAAAGGAATTAAAAAAAACAAAGCAAAAAACCCTTCTGACTTCTGACTATGTGGAAATACTGAGAACTAGGTAAAGATATAAATAGTATCACCAAATCAGTAGGATCATTTTGTCTTTGTGAAGTTGTCCTTGTCTTTTTAGTTGTCTCTTATGCAAAAATCTAGATTTGCAAAACTACAGTTTTTTTGTTTACTATCGTTAAGAAAAGAGATTTGAATATATTTCTTTAGAACTAAGCATTAAAGACTAATATTGGCAAGTGCTTTGCTAATTGATAAAATTTTAGTCCTTTTTTGAAAAATGGTAGGGATTTTAACAAATGCTAGCTTTTCCTTTTGCTCTCATTTGTAACAGAAGAGGTCTTGGACTTGCTTTTTCAGGTATCTGTCTGACCTTCATGCACCTGGTGACCCTGCTTGGCAGTGTATTGGAGCCCAGCACAAGTGGATCCTTCAGCTCATGCACAGTTGCAAAGAAGGCTATGTGAAGGACCTGAAAGGCAAGGATTTCTGTTCTGATTTGTATTCCACCTTTTCTTGTCACTTTAATACACTTTGGGAATGCTCCCGATTTTCTTGGTATCTGTACCTGTCTTCTTTGTTCTTTTTGGTCCCTGCCCCACTCTAAAGAATATTATATCTAAGAGTAGGTGACAGAGAGAAGGGAGATAACTCTTTTGATGTGTCTATTTTTATGGGTGACTAGCTAGCATTGTTGACAAAGGTTTATCTTAAGGATTGGTTACATTTCATAGGAGCAGCATGATGCTAGGCATTATATTAGGACTTGGTAAACGTTGGTCCCAGTCATTGTTTGTCTTTTCCAGGCAAGCACTAAGTGTTAGACAGACAGTGATAACTAAAACAGACTCAGGCGCGGCCTCATGGAGTTACCGTCAGAGGAAGGGAAAACTGTTAAATATGTGACTAGCCAAATAAAAAGTTGAGACAAGTGATAAAAGAGAGTAACAGTATTCTGAAGGGGAGTAGCTGAGGAAAATGTTTTGATGGCTGGTTTGGGAAACAGTCTCAGGAAGGCTCCATAGTAGCTGAGAACCAGAAGTAGTTTACCAGGGAGACTCCAGCCTAGGAAAGGGCACCACCTGTGGAAAGACCCTGAGAAAAAAATTAAAACTATATTTGCATGCAGGTTTACTGACTTTTATAATCCTGTCATTCAACAAATACTGAATGTTTTGAATGCCTACTGTACTCTAAACACTGTTAGTGTTTAGCACAATACTCAAGAGCCTCACTCCATGCCAGCTCACAGTATAGTGCAGGAGAAGGCAGGTACAGTGTGCCACTTTCTAAGACTGGAGAAGTTCTCAGTGTCATGGTGGCACTTAGGAACAGAATCTGACAGGGTTTTGCGATCAGGGAAGTATTCCAATATCCGAAGGAAGCGGCACCTGGTTTGAGATTTGAAGGATGTCTGTGTTGACCAGTTGAAAGAGAGGAGAAAAGATGCCATTCCAGGAGTACAGGGCTTCCTGCCAGAGAAGGCTGCCAGTTGTGAGTCTGGAATGCCTCTGAGAATGTGATGGTTGAGGGAGTTGAGGCTATAGTTAGGATCCTCCAGATAACAGATGTCATCAGTACTGTTTTGAGGGGTTCAGACCTCATCCAGAGGGCAGTGATGTCCCGTCCTGCAGGACACATCAGCGTGGGTAGCGAACCTAGAAGGGGAAGAATGAAGGGACAAGAGACACGAAGGAGACAGCAAGACAGGAGTTCTGATCAAGCTGCAAAATTTTATTGTTCACACAGGGGTATTTATGTGCTGCGGGAGTGAGGGGTACGACGAGGTGCAGGCTGGTTGGCTGGTTCTACTATAGGACTTCTGATAGGGTGCACGTTCGCGCCGGCGGCAAGGTAAACTCCCGGAAGGGAAGCAGGGACGGCGCCATCTTGTGCTGGAGGTGGAGAAGTTGGGACAAACAACCGTGGGCAAGGTCAAGACAGAATGGCTCACAAAGGGAGCCTTGTCTCCGACATTTCCCCCTTATTCTTATACAAACATGACCAGAATATGTCGGCTTATTGAGAGGGGATGACAGAGGCCCAGTTCCTCAGGGTGGAGATCATTTTGCTTTGTAAGCAAGCGTCCTTGCTAAGTTCTCAAGAGAATCTCCTCGGCATGTTTTTTGAGGAGGCGGATTTTTTAGGAGCATGCCAACCGCCATGCACCAGGGCATGTCATACAGAGGTCTTGGGTCTGGGGATCCTAGGATCCACCCTCCTGCAGTCTTACCTGCACCCTCGTTTAGAAAAGCCTTTATGATCACTCTCCCTGGGTGCTGCCTCCCCCAAGCAGAGGGGCCCAGTGGAGGAGGGCCCAATGGGCGATGAGTGGTCAAGAATGTTATATAAGAAGAGGGGGTGGCAGAGAGAAAATTTGGAAACCCAGATGGAGCATTTAGCGAGTTCTTATTGAAAGGAGGTCTCAGGAGCACGGTCTTCCATATCCAGACGATGATAATGGACCTGTATAGGCTTAGAGGCTAAGGTGTTAATTTGTTCTTTAATGAATTGTATCAGCCTGTTTATAATGCAGGGCCCTATGATCACAATTAAAAGTAGACCTAGCAAGGGGCCTAATAGTGGAAGAAGGTAGGGTAGAATTCCATTAAGTCCAGTCCAGAGGGGGTTTTCAAATAGCTCCCTTCGTCTCTTTTCTAAATCTTCTTGAAGCTGTTTAATTTTGGTGCGTACTATGCCTGATTTATTGGCATAAAAGCAGCATCTTTCCCCTAAGGCCAAGCAGATACCTCCCTGGTTGGCTGTTAGCAGTCTAAGCCTCGCCTGTTCTGAAGGACTACTTCTGCCAGGGAGTCTATTTGGTCCTGTAAATCCTTAATGGTTCCAGATAGAGTTTGTACATCATTTATAAGTTGTTGAGATAGGCGACGGTAAGAGTGTATAGCCGTGCCTAAGCCAGCTGTACCTGTGCCTATAGCTGCTGTTATTCCAAGGCTGGCAAGGAGCGGCAAGGCTTGTATTGCCCGTTTATGTCTTTTAATTAAGGTGTCTAAGCTAGGAATGGGCAAAGGTTCATCTCCTGAAATAACAGTAATGTCTGGGAGTAATAAGGCAACAACACAGCCACCAGTCCAATTTGCTGGAAGCCTGGGGAAGGCTGAGTTTCCTCCACACAAAAAAACTGTACCGTGGGGGGACAAAGAACTGGGGTGGGTGAGGAATAATTTAGAACTGATGAGCAATTTCCAAAAGAACTAACCCCAACGTCAATATCATAAGAATTATTTTGCATCCTGCCTTGAAGGCATACTGTAGGTGCATCCATAGGCTGTACTTTAAAGGGAAGTCCAGATTGACAGGTATCCTGATTATTTATGGTGGAGTTGACAGGTATTGCCATGGGCATTACTGCTCCTGTGGTCATGCAAAGCCAGCAATCCTTAGCAAGGGTGGGGTTGGAAGTGTTAAGCAAGGAGAAGGTACTTCCCAAAATATCTAATGTATTGGGATCTAAATCTGGAATCTGAGATTTAGGCAACATTAAGGGGTGATATGTGAGTTCGGGGATTTGGGGTTTTAAAAGCTCAATCACTTGAAGATGTTTGACAGCATCCGTGGGTCCTCCACCGTCAGAGACCCCTGTAGGGGCCTTAAGGGGCCAGCAGGAGGGTTTGCCAGCGCTGCCCTCACATCCAGCCAATTTGCCGGAGAGGTGAACGGTATATTGGGTTTGGCCGAGAAAGCCGGGTATCTGCACGACAGAGTCGGCGCTACCTCCCCCTATGACCCCTTGTTCAGAGCCAGCAATAAGAATGGCCTCAAAAAACTGTTGTCCGTTTTTGCCGCGGCAGAGAGAGGCTTGGGCATAGCAAGAGCTATGCACTGCCGAAGTGTGGTGACAGGTAGCTGAACAATTTTTAATTTCTTTTGAAGCGGTGGAGACTTTTGGTTTATTAACACATACCCAAGAAGGCTGCCAAAATCCCCCAATGTATGAGTTTTGCTCTATACGCTGATAAGCCACCTTAGTTATGCAATCCACGGTCAGGGCATAGCTGGTGGGGCTATGGACAAGTGTCCTCCCCTGCATTCACAGGGGGCACCAAAAAGCTCTTGAGCGCTAAGCCAGGGTCCCGAAATCCTCCATCAGCAAACCTGTTTAGCAGGAGTGTCGCAAGTAGAATCTTCATCCAGCGTGTGAACAGCATCTGTAAGAGAAGATAATGCGTCCTCAGGGAGAGGGTCTTTCTCCCTGGGTTTTGTTAAGTCATTAACCTGTTTTATTAGGCGTTCTGGTAACCATCTAGGGGCAGCCTGTTCTTGATCCAAAACACAAGCTGAGCCTCGGCCCCAAATGAGGACAGGATCTGGGCCTTTCCATTTATACGTAAGAGGATCGCGCCACATGACGGGTGGGCGGACAGTGTTAGACGAGGGGTGCCAGTGTCTGTCCGCGGCCGAGTGGCCGTCGCTGTCTAGGGTGAGAAAGTTGAGGGTAAATAATGTATGGTTTAGGCGATCTCTGGGAGTGGTAAAGGTAAGGGTAGAGGCTTTAAGACGGGTCAGCCAAGTTTTCAGAGTGAGGTGGGCACGTTCTACGATGCCCTGACCCTGGGGATTATAAGGAATCCCAGTAGTATGGGAAATTTGTAGAGTAGAACAGAACTGTTTAAACTTAGAACTGGTATATGCAGGGCCATTATCTGTCTTAATGTGTGTAGGTTTACCCATAACGGTGAAGGCTGAAACAAGATGAGAAAGGGCATCTTTGGTAGCTTCCCCAGAGTGTGGAGATGCAAAAATAAAGCCACTGAAGGTATCTATAGTAACATGTATATATTTGGTTTTTCCGAATTCGGGAAAATGAGTAACATCCATTTGCCACACCTGGTTGGGTAGTAATCCTCGGGGATTGACTCCCAAATGTTGAATGGGAAGGGAGATAGTGCAGGCAGGGCATGCCTTAACTATCTCTCGTGCCTGTTGTCTGGTAATTTTACAAAACAATCGAAGGCTTTGGGAATTTAGATGGTGAAGAGTGTGTAACTCGGTGGCTCTTTGGATGGAGCCGGCAAAGATTGGAAAGATAGAGCGCGTAGCTGCATCAGCTTGGGCGTTTCCCTGTGTAAGGGGACCGGGAAGGTCAGAGTGTGCTCTGATATGGCCTAAGAAAAATGGGTGGCGTCTGGTCTGGATTAGCTGTTGAAGCTGATGAAACAGAAAGGCCGCATTGGAAGAGGCCTTAATGGCGGGTGAAATCTCCAGCAGGGGCACAGAATGAGCAATGTAGGCACTGTCTGTATAAATATTAACAGGTTTATCGAGAAAGGTTATAAAAACTTGTGCTATGGCAAACAGTTCCACAAGCTGTGCTGACTGATAGGCAGTCTCGAAGGTAGTAGGTTGATTACCGACAACAAAGACCGCACAGCCATTACTGGAGCCATCTGTGAAAACAGTGAGGGCTTGAGGAATGGGAGCCTTTTGAGTAATTTTGGGAAAAATAAAGGGATGTAATTGGGCAAAATGTAAAAGGGGGTCACTTGGGAGGTGATTATCAATTGTTCCTAAAAACCCTGATAGAGCAATGCTCCATTCGTCTTCTGTCTGTAATAAAAATTGGGTTTGGTCTTTAGTGTACGGGATTAAGATTTTATCAGGGTCCTTGCCAAAGTGTTGTCGAGAGAGTAAACGACCTTTGACAATAACAGAAGCTACCTGAGCAGGATAAACAGTAATAACCTTGGAGGATGTGGTGGGTAAATGGACCCAGAACAAGGGGCAACCTTTATTTTTAAAATGTGGATCCCTTTGCCAAAAAATTCCTGTAGGTGTGTGGGGAGTATGTAGAATGACCAGGATCAGGGGGAGGTTATAAGAAATTTGTGTAACAAACTGTTGGGTAATGGC